TAAGTTATTTATCAATGTAGGAACAGTTTGTCTAATTCACATCTAGATGTTTTTTAAGAATGTCACATCTAAGCTCCCACAAATATATAATGCAGCAACAAGAAACAAAAAAAACAAGGACAAAAAAATAGACCACAAACAGAGTCACATCTCTAGATGTGTCCTAGACAGACCCATGTAGGAAACTGGGTACTGTTTACTAGACAAATTAACAAAAAAATCTTGGTATGGTTAGCAGTTTGTGAAATGCTTCAGTTCTTGGTATGGTTAGCAGTTGCCAATTTTGAACTTAATAGCTAATTCCCCAGCAAGTCTCTGTTTGTTTCCTAATCGCCAAGTACATGTGTAGGTTTACAAGGCTGTGGGTTCAAAATGTTCTGAGCAGGTACTAGAGGTAATGTTTCTTTAAAGGAAATTGATACACCTTGGCCCTCAATTTCTAAGGTGACTGCTTCAATTCTTACAAATATAACAATAATTTGTTACATGCAGTAGGCAACAGTTGGAAAAGATGCACTGCTTGCAGTTATTCCAGATCCCGTAACCTGCTTCTCAACCGCTCGATATTACCAGAAGCAAGTGTTTCACGTATCCGGGGATTCTAACTTGGTCATTGTAGATTGGTTTACAAGTGGCCGGTATGAGAGTGGAGAAAAATGGGACTTCAACTCCTACAAGAGTGTTAACCACATTCTTTTGGAAGAGTATCAGCCTCTGTTTATTGACTCGGTGTGAACTTGTGCCTTTCTCCTAGCATGTGCCAGATTAAGTTATATTCATCTCCGTTTGAATCGTTACTTAACCTCAACATCATGCAATGATACCTTTTCATGCCTGAACAGGTTCTATTGGAACAGGGCTCCGATTGTACTATTGCTGAGCGGATGCAGGAATATAACGTCGTTGCAATGGTTGTATTATTGGGGTAAGTTCATCTGGCAGTGATACGTATATTTCTCTTAGACCTCTACAGATGTGACAATGAGAAGAATAGCTTATGAACTGCCTAGTTAAGTTTAACAAAGTCTTAGGCAAGAATTAGTTGGAGGCTGCACTGAAAGGCATGAATGTACAATTATGCATATATCAGTTCAGTCAATGAGCACTACTTTCTTCTCCAGTCATCATTGTGATCTGATACAAAAACTAACAGTATAGAATACGACAGATGTCCTTTTGCTTGTCGTTTCTTTTTCTACTGGGCCAGAGGTTCCCTGACTTAGTGTTTGGCAATTGTTACACTGTAGAACTGCACCTGGTTCCTAGTATGTCAAGTCAAGGCTATTCGTACTCCAAGTTAACATAAAATTTGCTAATGCTCTTGTAAAGAAACATAAATGTACTAGTTCTCAGTAATCATATTCTGTCAGTTTTTTTGGATCCTGTGAAATCATGGCAACCTGTCCCTACTAGGAGCCTGGCTGCCTGAATGTGAACCATGTTGCTGAGGATTCCCTTTGCAGGCCAAAGTTGAAGCACATACAAGATCAGATGCAAGACGAAGTAAAGAACATGATGTCTGTACAACTGCGTCCTCCCACCTCTGGTGGAGGCCGCTACGCCGCAAGGCCACAGGCCGTACAACCCCAGAGCCCCCCGCTCGTTGCCTCTTGCAGTCCATTTGGTCGCACGGTTAGCTGCCGCTCCTTCTTCCTGAAGTTCTAGAACCACAGCTAATTGCGCGTGCTTGGCTCGACAGAACACGTGACAACATCTGTTTTTCGGTTGCTGCAGGGAACTGGCATGGTCGCCCGGATAGTGGCGGTGAGCACTGAGTCCGTATACACCTTCCTCAGGCATCATCTGGCAGCGGTTGAACCATTCCTTGGCGTCGCCCCTTATTCTTCGTCATGAAGCTAGCAAGCAGCAAGAAACTGCTGAGAGTCACTGGATCATGAAACCTCGGTGCAGATGAATAATGGAGCTGTAAATCGCTGAGGCAGACACAGCTAACGTTGCGGCGTCCATCTTACCTGGGCTAATTTCAGGGCCAGGCTGTGTAAATGCTGGGTTGGTTGGGCCAATTCGTGTTAACTGGGCCTTGTTAGTTTGTGCAATTTAGGGCCCAAAATATAAGTGTTTCTGCTGCTAAAAAATGGTGTTTCTTACACTCTTTCTTGGCGTGTATCATCACTACGGATTTTGGAAAAAAAATCGTAACTGCAAAGTGGTCATCGACTGAAGTCGATGCGATGTGACATAGAAATGTGAGCTTGGATGGACTACTCTCTCAAAAAAAAAAGTTGTGCACACAGGCGCTGTGAGGTGAACTCGAAGGTAGGGAGCTGCACCCCACCCCCGTCGGCAAAACTCCGGCCGGCCATCAGAGTAAGAGAGTGAGGGAGCTGGCTGGACGCCGACGAATGATGAGGCGAAGGGAAAGGGAGGAGACCAGCGGTCAAAGCGACGGTACAATGATAATGGAGCGGTGGGGGTTCTGAATCCTCCTGGGCCTGGACTGGGAGACGGTGCCGGCGCTGCCTCCCGTTCCCCTGCAGCCTCTCACTCAAGTCCGTCCACGGGGGCCCCACCAGGCAGAGCCCCGTTGCGCCTCGTCGTGGATGGACCCCGGCCTTTTGTTTTGTTCCCCCCCAGCTTTCTCCTCCCATCATTGGGCCTTTCTCTGCACCGTCGCTAACTAAGCAGCGCCATTATTGTTGTCTCAAACAAAAAAAAAACACTAAGCAATGAAACCTCAATTATGATGGCTGGGGCCTGAGGTGTACGAAATTTGCGATTTCAAAAAGAAGCACGGCCAGCCGTGCGATCCTGGGTCACGGATTCTGCTGCATCGATCACCACGTTATTTCGTGCGAGTCCGTGTGGGTGGAGGGTGGTAAAGTGCATGGGGCAGGGGAGACACGGTCGTGCACTGCTCCAAGAACCGGCGCCAGTTTGGGATGGTCCAGGCACGGCAGGCAGGGCCCGGCCAATGCTTGCTAGTAGTTGTTGCTACGCCGATGCGCGGGCGTATCACCTTGTGGATTGTGGCCGGTGGTCCTCGATCTGATTCCGAACAATGCGCTTGGGAAAGCCTGCAGGGGCCTCTGCTTCCCTTGGGGCTCACACACGTCCTCACACCAAATTCATACTTAACCAAGAAGTTCATTTGGTTAGACGTAATGCAAATTTTCTTCAAAACACTGCAGTCTCTTTTGTTTATCTTTAAATAGAATCCTTCAGTGTTGATGCTGGCATGTGTGGGTGATTATTAGTACTACGGTATCGCGTAAAAAAATATTACTACTAGGGTAGAGGTCGTTGCATGTGGTAAAGCTGACATGCATGGGAGCGTAGGAGGGAGAAAGACGGACTGAGGTGGAATTGGACACCAACGGAGCAGGATGGATGGACGGGACAGGAGAGGGGGTTGCGTGTCTGTTCATCGTCTTACACTTGCTGGATAGATAGATTCCGCAGGTTTCAAGAGGTGGTGGAGGAGGAGGAGAAGGTACTGTTGCAACACATCAATCATTCTATTCTAGCTGGGCCTCCCTCCTTGGGGTTGGTTATTGCTAGTTATCGCTGCTTCCCCAGGATTGGCAAAGAAATAGGGAACATAATGTCCAAAGACCACTTTGTTGCTTCC